AATCGAGTTTTTGCCCGGACACTGCCTTTAACATCGCTACAGAAACCTGGCACCACTCACTTTGCCGGGACGCTGCCTTCAAGTTGTGGGATTGGGGGAAAATCTTTTACACAAGAGTATATAGTAGGTAGAACCGGTAACCGAAAAAGATGATGAAAGTCGAGACAGTATCGTCAAAGAACTCAGCAATCAACAGTGAAAACCTGACCGTCTTAGTCTCTCCTTTGCAGCTAACAATGTGCATCGGCTAGAATGAAGAGTCCAAAAATAAGGTTATAAGAAGAGTGTGCCTGTATGCAGAACACCATACACCATACACCATACACACTCTTTCAGGAAAAACATACTCACCAGTCGGTGAGAATTCTTATGGAAAAATGAGAGGTACAGTCTGAGTTTTACACACTGCTTTATAAAACTGAAGGGCAATGCAAGCGCACACATCGGTGTCCCGCAGCCGTCTATTAAAAGACTGCCGACTGCTCAAAAGCTTTTCTTTGCAAAAAAAATTCACCGACTTACGATTCTTTTATACGAAACTAGTTGGCTTTCCCGGTCTAGACCGGACCATTGTTCTCCTGCACTGCCACCTCCTCCCCTTTTATATGTTATGGATAACTTACCCTGGACATCCGCTTCGAAACCGCATCCTCGTGATCCTGAGGTGAAAATGAGCGCCACCGCCCTTATTTACATGACTATTGGGAATAGCTTGATTAAACATGATAAGCCTTCTTTTTCTAAGAAAAACGTAAAGAAATCAATAATTCGATAGAAAGGCCGTGTGAATCGCCGCGAAAACTAGCCTATCAGCTGCGCAGGGGTCGAAAACGTATGTGTGCAAAGTTTCAGCTGAATCTGTTGAGCGACGCGCGTTTCTATAACGCACATACCCTCCAAACTGACATTTTTTTGAGCATTATACATATCTAGATGATTTGAGTAATTTGTGCTACTGTACGATCAGCAATAATCATACTACACTACATATATAGCGTGTAGTTTCACTAAAAATGAACTCACAAGCATTCAGCGTACAGGTAAGGACAGCTTGAGGAAACCACAACTATATACTTATAATACTATTTTTTGTTCGCACCTTTTGCCCCATTTGAATTCATAATCAGCATGAGATTGTAAAACAATTTTCCGAACTCGGAATTTCCACACGGCGGACTGTTTCATAGACTGAAAAATTATAACCTGTAGTTCTTTTTTCAAAAAAATTTTTTTAGCTATGAAGTAGTCAGTGCGTAGCAAATTCACAAACACGATGAGCGAGGTTTTCCGGAACTTGTGGAAAGATTGAGAGGTTCTCACATATCAAGGCATATTACCCTATTTTCAGGTGTTTAAGCCGCGGGGTGGCCCTAGCTCATACCACCCGGAACAAATCAAAGGTCTTCGCAGCCAAAGGACCTTACACCATGCTGCGTATTGCCTGAAGGAATCGTGCAGCATAAGGATCGCTTCTCGAAATACAATGAAGCGGCTGAGCAGCTCTTGGGAAAATTCGAAAAAAGTGCGGTTTATACACCTGAAAATAGTGTACCACTTTTTTGAGATTGTGTAGACGAGAAAAAAGGCAAAAAAAAACAATTAAAGCCAGAAAGCAGAGACTGTCTAAAAAACACCCTAATCAACTTCCAATATGCAGAAGGAAAATTTGAAGCAGATTGAGATTTTTTGGAAAAGAGATTATCCTTTGGGACCTAATAGCAGTGATATCGAATGCAACCAACAAGTAATTACCTACAACAAGATATTATAATGTGTAGCGTTGTTTGACATTGCTAGCAAGATTTCCTTGTACCGGATTCTCTCCCGAGATCTCATTTCAATATTCATACTTCGTGTCTCATCAGAGAACCGGTTGTCCTTGACGTGCACCCAAAAGGAGCGCCGTCGTATCGACCGCGTTCCCACGCTGCCACTACTCGTTACTCAGCCATGGTAATTTGCCAGATGATCACATAGATAAACAAGCTCTAATTGAATGGCAAGCCTCTGCTTTCATTATGTTCATGTCTCGTCTTTCTCCTTCCTAATCATCTCCTTTTACATTTGGGGACTCCCCTCTCTTCAAACCTCCCAAGCTCGCAGCTCTCAGCTGACCGTCGAGCCATCGATTTCGCTAACAGCGCGCTCCAACCTTCTTCTTCCAGCTGGTCTATCGAAAGAGAGAGAGATTTTTGTTGCGCTCAGCAAACATTAAGCTCCTTTACGTCACATCGATTTCAGATGTCGCCAGCTGCGTGAAAATGCGTCATTTTTAATATTCGACATTTATCGTTGTTCAAAAAGGTTTTTTCCGCTATCTCCCATGTTCGCAGTAACTCTCCAGCAGTTCTAGGTAAGTGTACTCAGCAATTTGTGTGCTCAGTCCTTATCGTGCCGCTCGGTACTGATTCGAAGGGGTCGCTTCGTCTTCACATTTGGCCTTGTTTGTTTTGATGTGTGATGTGTTCGCTCAACCCATTGTGTCATGTCTGGGTTGCTAAGTATTCGCTGAACTAGTTATTTTCTTATTTTTGAGCACTCCCAAACTTATATCTTTGGTTATCGTTTCTTTTGCGTGACCATGGAGAGTGGAACTTTCCATCAAATAATTTGAAAATTTAGTTCTGTTGGTACTTTCATGCATTGTTTATATATTATTACATTTTATAGTGATTTTCCTTCTACAAATTTTTTTCATATTACCTAATTTTCAAAAATTTTTGTATAGCATTATAGCATAACTTTCATACTTAGAATTCGATGAGGTGCTAAAAGCCATTTGTTCCAATCTGCTGGACTTCTTGCACTTTCTTTTTTTATTGTTCAATTTTCATCTCTATTCAAATGCATATGATTATGTTTTTATGCATGCACGCTTCCAAAATGCGTCAATTGTACTCGAATGCGCCTTTGTCGCGAGCAAAAAAACCAGCTTTATGGCTAGGAGCATTCGATTAAAAAGTTTCAAGTGAATGCTTGTTTTGCAAGATAATTTTGAAAATTTCTGACATTGCCTTCTATTTTCTTCCGATGTTGTTTTGATGGAATGCTGGTTTGTTATTATTTTTAGACCGTAATCGCACTATCATCGGTCAGTCTTACAGACACAGACAACTGCACTGCTAAGACGCGACTCAAAATTTCATCCACAAAATTTCCACGATAATGAGGCAAGAATAAACAAGGATTTTTTCAAAGCCTTTGTCCTTGGCTGTAAAGTTGTTTATGTACCAGATAGGAAATTGGTGGGCTAATCTGGGAAAAGAAGAGGTTTAGTAGCGCTGTCACTTTCACAAAAATCATCAGTCAATGAACGCCGCTTGAATAATTTGCGGTTTAGCAGCCAGCAGGAATTGTTTAATTGTTGCGTTCTGCTCGTCATTTTCGTTTCACTTCACTTTTTTCTCACAATCAGAACGTCTTCAGCCGCATTCAGCCAGTTCAACTGATACATCTGACATCATTCATTGATGATATAGCATTCGGACATAAAGTCGCTTTCTTTCAATCTAAACAATAAAGACTGCTCTTTGCTTCACCTTTGATGTTTTTTTCATTTATTGTATTTTGTGACTGTCCTCTCTTTGCAACTTTTAGCCGAAACTTCCGGCAAAAAGATTCTGAAAAACCGCTTGTGCCACAATTTCAACTTTTGCAAGTTGTGGAATGGTGTACGTAGCTCATACAGGTGAAAATGGCTTTCTCATGGTTTTATTTTTATTACGCTTGAGATTCGCGGATTACTGCGGATAGGTAGCAGATACATGCTGTTCTGTTCTGTTGGAATAGCTGTCATTTTATGCCGTCACTGGCTCCAACGGAAAAACTACTTATTTGCTCATATTCATATTATTGATCTTACCAACATCATCATTTCTTGGCAATATAAAATAAAATTCAAAAATCCTACGTCTATCTTCTGATTTTTTTGCGCTGAAATCTCCTCACCACTCCTAAGAACTCTTTCTTGCTTGTCATTCATAGATCATCATGCAAAGATAAAATGCAAGAACGTTGCGACTGCAGGCGTTTTTTTTTCACTCGAAGTTTGGCGTTTCTCCACTATGCGACCTTCAGTTTAATTGAAGCACTTTGCGAAGATTTGTTGCTCTTACCTGAACAGTACCTCTTACCTTGTTTCTGTTTTCATAAGTTTTTATGTTTTCACTGAGTTGCTTGAGACACTTATCTACCCATGTTGCACCTCACACTTTCAGATAAAATCTGTTCAGTACAGTGCTATTACAATTATTTTGATGTCTGTTTGTGATTGCTGTTTGATGATGAATGAAGGAAAAGAAACCGTCCTTTGTCGATAGCCTGCATTTGCGGAAAGGAGAAGTGTGCTTATTCGTCCGTAATCAATCTTTCTGAAGGGTGGTGATGAATGGAGCGCAACGTCTGTATTCTATTACCAGCATACAAATTTTACTAAAAGTGTTAACATATTCTATCAACATTCGATGGAATGCAGCGGTGTTCTGGTCTCTCATTAGAACGACGCTAAAATCATATCTTCACATTCAGTCTCTGCAACATTCTGATTATCTAATTCACTCCAATTTTTATCCAACTCTCACTTATTTAATGGCTATCCTTTGACGAAGAAGTTCGGCATTACTAGATAGTCTCGACTAAATCTTTGCTAACATAATACCACTCCTTTGTCTGATGTTGGAGTTCTTTATGATGCTGCGCTCATCATATCAAATATGCATTCAATAGTTTTCATAGATTGAAAATAATATTGAGTTCAGAAATGCTTTGCTTGTTTTGTGGAATTAGTTCTGAATCCTAGCCCAAAGTAAACAAACTGCAATCATTCTGATTTTCACTAATTTTCCTGTGGATTTCATAAACTACATACATAATGTGAAAATATTGTAAACCTAATTTGTGCGTGAAATTATTTCTGCCTCAAAGTTTTGCATACACTAACACTGTGTTAGCACGTCCGTGTGCTTAAACCAAGCAGATAGTTTGTCTAAATCCTCGTTTTCAGGTGATCAACATGGTCGATCCAGTCGGTCGACTAATATTCAAACTACCGCCATTGGCTCGGATAATTACTGTATTAACGGGTGCTGTACTTATTCATTTAACTATAGGAACATATCATACTTTCGGTCAGTCATCATTCTTATATTTTTCTTTGATTGTAAGAAATTGATAAGTTTTTAGGTAATATGCTACCTTATATGGCTTCGTACATGCGAAATTATACTGATCGTAGCATACGGATTGAAGATTTCATGTGGATTCCAACATTCCAAGGTGATCATTAGTGTAATTACTGATACAAGTACCGTACCTAATTTGTATTTATAGGTTGCTTTCCGTTCGCAATGGTGATTGGTGGGACATTGGCGTTGCATGTTGGGCCACGGATGGCTGCTCTTATTGGTTGCACTATTGCCACGTAAGTTTTCTCAAACTTATGATTGTTTGGCTCTAATAGTGTATCTCCCGTAAATAGAAAATCATCCAATTCGAAAAATTCTCCTTGATTTGAACCTCAACTCTCTTTGACCATGCATATATCGTCTAAGCTGCTTACACTGAACGATAGAGAGGCCATGGGACGTCAAAAAAGGAAAATTCATTTTTGCTTGCATTGTAATCCGTATTCCACCTCTTTTTTTTGATTTTCAGCACGATAGTCGGTTCTCCTCATCGTTCTTATTGCAGAATATATTGAGCAAACTAATGTACTTAATTCTCAAAATTCGTAGAAAGAATTTACATCCGCCCATGTCAGCGATCAATATCCATGTTGTCAGTGCCAGTAAAACCACTTATTGAGCGCTTAATTAAGCTATCTGGACGAGGGCTCGGCACGAGGTGGCTTTTGGAAAATTCAAAAAACGGAGTCCCTTTTGACTTTCGCAAATTTTTACGAAGTCTCTTTTGACCCTAGATCATAACCGGAAAAACCCAAAAAACGAAACGTCGACTAAAAGAAAACTTCAAAATTTTTGTGTCTCTTCCTCAAAAACGATACCCCCTTTGCTTTTTGTCCCAAAAGCGATACCCAGCTTGCTTACTAGCCACTTGTGCTGAGCCGTGATCTGGACTCTTTCACAAACCCGATCTAACAGCAAAATAGAACTGAGGAATTTTGTTGAGAAGTTTTTTTCTTATGCATGGTCTCCAGAGATCCATAAAAGATACATTACTACTGCTCGTAAAATTAGAAATCATCAAGTTATACAACCATCTTCAGAAATTTAAAAAGGTAGTTTTATGAAAAGTTGAAGATTTACCAGCTCTACCTCAGGGCAAGGCTTTCTGTGTGACCTACATGACTTTTTGAGATATTAGCGATCAAGGCACAAATCAAACCACCTTCCTTAAAGTCACATTCTATTGCAAACCTTTTGTGCTGCATAAGTTTTTAATTTTATTGTTCACATCACTGATGAGTTCAAAATCTGGCGTTATCGAACTCAAAACTCTCCTTGCAAACTTGTCATTATGCGGTTATATCACATGTAATTTGAAGAACAACTTGTTGGTTTACGCTGCTTCAAACTGTATGCTTGGTTCTAGGTTCATAAAAATAGGCAGACACCCTCAAAATAAAGCTTACCTACTCCCTCAAAACAAATCCTTCCTCTCTCACAATACGTTTACAGATCTGGTGTTGCTCTTTCATTTTGGGCTATAAAATATTCTTTCTTCTTATTTTTTGTTACTTATGGCCTTCTTTTTGGCCTTGGACAAGGTATCGCATATGTTACTGCTGTAGCAACCGTAATAAATGTAAGTTTTACTCAAATAAGCATTTTTAATGGATTTTTTTTCAGTGGGCTCCGGAGAAAGTGGGGCTGGTCAGCGGCATTGTTGCAGCTGGCTTTGGTGTCTCGTCGTCTATTTTTGCTCCCATACAAACATACATTATCAATCCGAAAAATCTACCATCTACTCGTGATGGGTTGGAGTCTTCGTTAGGCTTAATTTCTGTAATATTTATATTTTCAGCTATTTCCTTGACAAAGATCTCTTACAACGGGTACCAGATGTATTCCTAACTTTAGCTGCAGTTTATGCCATTATGCAGATGATAGGCCTTATAGTTGTGTGTGATCCACCTGAAAAGGTTTGCCCTTTTGATATCCACTTTTATTGATATCTTTTGAACAAATTTAACTCAGTGTGTGGCTTTTTCCTTTTGTTAATCCCTACTGTGTGTTTTGGCTGCAGATCCGTAGCTCGGGACTCGGCTCCATTTCCGAATTCATCGGAAGCTTTCGAAATCACACGAAGCGTCGGACAGAGTTCTCAACCGTCCTATATAAGCAACTTCCGCGGGAAGAAATAACGGTATATAGGGACAGCGGAGGCCTGGCCAGCACAACTATGACTACATGAGTCAAAAGAAGACTGTTTCAAATTTAAATATAAAAATCGCATGTTGTGGAGACAATTGCCACTTTGAATTTACCTTAGTTGAAAAAAATCACACGATTGACGTTTTGGCATTTTTTAGAAATAGAAATTCAAAAAAAATCATTATTAGGACGCAGCTATGTGGCAACAGCGAGTTCTGCTTCGAGCGCTTCTAGTAAGTGCATGATTTCTTCCATCAAGCTTATTCAACTTAGGGGTTTCTAAAATTTTAGTGCAAGACTTACATACCTACCTAATATGATTATGCATGTAAATACGATCCTCAATAAAAAATACATCGGCACAAAAAATCAATTGACATCCTAAAGCTGATCGCCTCTAGTTTTTTTACTTCTCAATTATTGTCAGTGATAAGCTGCTGGCCAGACCTCGCTGCAATGTTGGTGTGTGCATGTGGTTGTTGTGGGTGCTTTCCGACTAATCCTAACTTGGTTTTTACCGTGGAAAAGGATCGGGCACTTTTTGTAATACTTCTTGCATTTGGCTGTTGGGTCATATCGTTGGCTGCGATACATTTGTCATACAAGGGCGTGGTTTTGTAAAATATCTTGATCCAAAGCGATACTTTTGCTCTACAATATTGCGGCAGGAATGGTAGTTTATCACTTCAATTTAATTATCTATTTGCTTGAGTGGTTGCATTATTTGATCCTGGGACCACATTTTATCAAAGGGAAGTAACTTGAAAAGATTCCAAAATCGCTTTCTTGAATTTTGACAAGAAAAACAAAATTGGTTTGGAACTATGAGTCTATGTGTAATCTATGAGAGCTCAATATATAGTGTTTCATTATCATTTGCAGTGGCTTAGGCTTACTAAGCCGTCAGGATTCCTTATCAGTTTTTCTCAGAGGTCCTTGAAATGCATTTTTTTGGTTCAAAATATCACCAGCCGTAAGTTTAGTGAAGAAGAAAGCTGATATCTGACCGTCATCTAAGACTAAGTGGTAGAAAGGCACGGAAGAAACACGCCATATACTACTACTTCCCTTAAGATTGGAAAAATTTGCCTATCATCTTTCCTCTTTCTTCTATCCATCTATGTGTATGGATACTTACCTCTTTCTGTGCGAACTAACCTTTCTTTCAAACGCCACTGTGCTTTAAACTATGTGTGGGATCTGTAGTTAGCGTTGTGACTGTAATCTGTTTTTTTTCTACTACTTAATTGAAGCATTTTCTTTCAGACTTCCCATGGTACGACTGCCAGGCACCGATCTGTATCGCGCGATTCAAGTGATAGCGACGAATCCGACTCCTCCGATGTATTTCTTACTGAGCGGAATAAGTAAGCAATCTAGAAATTACCGAGCAGGGAAATGATTGCTCGTGTTTTAGTGAGACATCCATGCGACCAGCGGAAATGCTCGCATCATCCACTTTTTATTTTCTATTCGCAGCCTTGTTCTGCTGTTCGTTCTATGCCAACATGTTCTACAACCTTTACAAGGTGTGTTGCCTGACATGGACGTAAATGAGCGCACTAAAATTTGACATTTCAGACATTTGCGGAAACGTTCATCGACGATGATTTCTTTTTGGCGAGGGCATTTGCCATAGGTTCGACTGTGAATGCTTTTGCTCGAATTGGATGGGGCTATATGACTGATCGAACCAATTTTCAGGTGATTAGCTCGATTATTCATTTATTAAAAGATGTATGCATGGCAGGGTGGAATTCATATGTGGTAAGTAGCAGTCATCCACTATCCCATTCTATAGAAGTAACTGAATTTTGGATACTAGACAAAGTTTATTTTTGCGACAAGTAAGATAAAACTCTCATATGCAGTAAGAAAAGTGTCTCCGTGCAAATTAATTCAAAAGGAAAAGTTTCTCCGTACAAATTGATTCAGAAGTTCGTGAGGCATGTTTGAACAACTCTGTATTATCACGAGTATTTTCGGAATTTGCGGAGAGCAAGCATATAGAAAGTTCTTCTACAATCTTTTTTGTTCATCGCTGCTTTGCGAAAAGCTATAACAGGCACCCCCAATCGTATTAACGTTGATTCCTTTACTAGCAAAAACTTTCGATCAGGATGAGATTCGAACTCACGCGGGGAAACCCCAATGGATTAGCAGTCCATCGCCTTAACCACTCGGCCACCTGATCACGGTGTAATGTTTTGCAGGTGGCGGTCTCGACAGCAACGTGTTTGGCTTCTGCCCTTTTGCTAACTATGCCTATCACAAAGGAACTGGGTAGATATGCATTCCTGCTATGGGTAGGTTTTGTTTTTGCTTTCTTTCACAAAATTTGTCAATGTCACACTGCAGCACCGCAATGTAGGAGTGTTAAACCTCACGTCAAAAATCAAAAATTGCAAATCTCACTTGCTTGATATTACATTCGTAGCTAATGTTTTAGTACGAAATAAGCTTTCTTGCTTTCATAGTCGAAAGCTGAAAAACTGAAGAATTACCTCCTTCACAACGCCGCCCTTACTTCTTGAGCAATATAGTCTCAAACTGTTGGATTCTAATGCGAAAAGTCTGACTGCGTTAACATTTTGGAACTTTACAAATGCTAAAATTACTCTATCGCAGAACGTTTGACAAACTTTCAAATAAAGCTGAAGCAAATGATAATAAGACTTCAACCGATTTGCTGTCTTATAACAAGACAGATACTGTGATACAGAGAATATAAGACAGGTACTGTGACAACGACACCTCTTTTTCTGGTTTCATGAAATTTTGTAAAATCTTGGAGAAAGAGCTTGGATTTTTTTCTAATCAGAAAACTAACGCGGCTAAATTTTCATTTTTTTTTGCATGCGCAATCCTAGGAATGTAAAAGAATTAGGCCTGATTATATTCTCAAAAATCTTGTTTGTCCAGTGTTCAGCAACCGCGCGTAGAAAAATGGAAAATAATTAATTTCAGCTTGTGGGAATTTTCATATGTATGGGAGCCACACATGCGCTCTTTATTACCGCATCGGTGAGATGCTTTGGCGACAAATATAAAGCCAGCAACTATGGATTCCTGATATTTTCTACGGTGATTTTTCTTACGCTTTTGTAATAGTTTAGATTTTCTGAACAGTAATTTCAGACCTGCAGCGGTATAATGCTGTCGTTCGTGTCCGAGTATTATTTGGCGACGATTGGATATACTTATCTCTTTATAATCACTGCTCTCTTCCCTTTCACGGGTAAGTTCATTGTCTACTTTTGTGTTTTTGAAAGAAACTGTGTCCATTATTCTTTAGCATTCATTATCACCTCTTTAATCCATCGGACACCACAAGGAGCTAATATATGTGGTTAAAAGAAAAATGCAGGCAAATGGATTCCTGCCCTAAGGGGTAACCGAGGAAATTGAACTGCGTTGGCTGCTACTGGAGGGATGTTTGTGGACCGCAGGTGATCGGGATCCACGGGAACAGTCATTATGAGACCGGTAGAATACGTCTTTCCCAAAACAAGATTGTGCTATGTAGGTTTTTGCGACGCAGTTTTTAACATCATGTCTATCTGTTTCTCTAAGTAGAGAAGCATATTAGTTTTATTTCGTAGTGTTAGCTACTATCCGCTTCGCCTTATGATCTCAGTCAAATATGTGATACTCGGATATCAAAACTCGTGTTAATGGTTGTTTCTAATAATAAGCAGGTGACAGGGGCGCTATTTGATTGGCGCGCTTATATCGCAATTGCTCTTGAAAATGACGTTCTTTGTTTGTTTCATTGTTCCATTTTATTCCTCCTTACCATTTGATTCCTCTTCGCCTATGCCAATTTATAAACTAAATTATTCTGTTGAGGTGCCGATTTTCTCTCTATTGTGCCGATGATCTTAAAAAAATGCTTTTACTTACTGTGAAGTGAGGATTGGATTTCTCTCCTTATGATTAGACCTTGAACCTTTTTAAGCCTGTCAATGCACCGCATCGCATAGTATTTTACCGTAAATGTGGCATAAACAATTGTTATTGATTTGTGGGTTGAGGTATTGTGCCATAAACAAGAATAAAGGAAATCTGCTCTTTGGGGATTGCTTCCCTTGTAATGGTTCAATGGAAGCTTACGATATGTTCATTGAGTTGACACAAAAATCTTTTTTACAAATCTAGAAGCTGGGCCGATTGCATATTTGACAGTGTACGGATAGCTGTGCCCAGTATAACTACGTACTTTCTGCGATTTAAGACTTGCAAAGCTGTCACATAGGCGTAGCCGCCAGCAGCCCGTAGCAGCCGCTGGCTGCCTTTAATTATAGGAGCAAAAAAAATCATCAGATTCTTACTACTTTGAGTACATCCGCCTAAGCTTCTCATCTCTCATGCTTTTTCCTTCCTGTTGCCCCTAACATGCGGTTCCATCTCATATATCGTACTTGTGTCCATTAGTGTTGTTATCTTGTTGACGTAGACTGGTTATCCTATTTGTCCCTCTTGCAGCTGAATCATAGTTTGCCGAAGATTTTCGCGGTGTGATTTCTTTGACTTTGGATGCGTGCAATTTATGTAGGTGTACTATTTGTTTATCTTTTGAGTATGGTTCTGCTTCGGTCTTTTCCTTGGCTATCGGTTTATCTTGATTACCTTTGTAATGTGTGAGAGTTGAACTGCACATTAGCATCAATATAAGGAAAAAAAGAGGGAAGATAGAAAGCGTAGGCGTGTGCACCAAAGTAGTAAGAATCTGATGATTTCAAGCTTTCATGAACAAAAGGCAACCAGAGGTGGCTACGGGCTGCTATCGGTGGATGCCGGCGCGGTATGAAGGCAATTTAATGTGGTTGAGGCTTGAGATATACCTGACGATAGAGGTATAGCGGGTGTTGGCGAATCGCTGATGTCTGCGCTGCCTTTAGCTGCTCGTGGCTGCTGCGCTGGGTACGCTTTGAGTGCATGAACGAAGTAGCCTTACCCATTACTATGCTTAGCTTAGGCCATTATGAAAGTAAGTCTTGAGAACTACCAAAATTGAAAAATATGATTACATGAGATCCAAGAAAGTCATCCTGTTTATCAACAATTTTTCTTAAGTAGCATAAGATGGCAAACCAAGTATTGCATCTACTGAGTAAATAATCATTTGACAAATATCCAAACGAGTGTCGCAGAAGAACTTGATGTGTGCTTGAGACAAAAACCAAACAATCTAGGTCATAGCTGCCGTTAATGTATCGCGGTGTATTGGTAACATCCCACTAAATCGTTGAAATCCTCTAGCTTTTCATTGTTGCTCCTTTGACTTCACTTTTGCTTCGCAAAAGTTCTGTGCAGTCGTTCGGATCCAATTCCTTGTCGACTTTGTCAATTCTTCAATGAACTTCTTATTGACCCATTGCGTTTTGGTCTTGCAAATTTGTCATGGTTCAGTATCGAAACAAGTTCTAGAAATCCTTCAGAAGTTCAAAAATATGTTAAAAATGGACAAATCCGAGCAAAAACAGCGTTAGCAGCATGGAGCAGCTGGAAGAAGCTCACCAAAAGTGAGCTTCATATCGCGTAGCAGCAAGGAGCAGCGAGGAGCAGCAACGAGCAGCAAGCAGCAGCCAGAGCAGCGCAGCATCGCTAGCTATAGCGGGTCTGTTTCGCGTTGGCTGCAGCAGCTAGGAGCAGCAGCGTCGCCTGGCGTCAATCGATACGCACAAAAGACGTTGCTGCTCGCAGCGTCTTATCGTCAGCTATAGCCACCCATCGTCAGGTATATCTCAAGCCTGAGAGACAAAGGTTGCCCAGCTGGCAGATGTCTGTCGGGGTTGCCAAATCGAGATAAAGATCCCATTCTGTTTAGTCGTTTAGAAGGATAATGTGTGTGGTCCATGTCGTCCATTGAATCTCCAGTCTTGATACGCTTCGGCACCAGCTGAAACCGAGGAAATTCAACAAAGCCCCTCTTTGATTTCGCAAAGTCTGACAAAGTCTCCTCGAATTTACTGGCTTTTCGGTGCGAATCTGAACTAAGTGAATAATCTAGCAGAGGAATAATAGATTGACAGACAAAAGTAAAGCATGAACGAACATCGAACCAGCGGTGGATATAGTAGATTCTCGCTTTGATCCTCGGCCCCATTTAAATCTACACGGTCGGCTGCGCGGGCGGTCGCGTCGCGCGCGCAGCTTTTGTCACCGGGTCACGCTTGGTGGGTCACATCATGATGACACTCATGCCAGAAAACCACTTCATCTTCATCTTTCTTCGAGAAATTCACTCTAGCGGTGAGAATAATAGTGCTGCATTCTTATATTTGACACTGTCACCGACTTGAGGAAGAGTGTGAAGAGTTCATATATCTGCAAGCAAAATGGAGTGATGGTGCACCGAGCTCTCGGCCGACATCTGTGTGATTTTGTTCTTGTTTTCTTTGTTAAGTTATTTGCTCATCTAAGTTTAGGCTATGCCAACGAGATCAGATAGCATGTTTCAAGAGTCAAGAATGGATGTTTGGCATGCCCAATTTGCTTTTGAGATCTACGCTACCCAGACGAACTTTTTTTCACGTCAAAAACCATAGGAGAAAGGGTTGATTAGTTTTGTCTTTTTTGCTCCATTTTAAGGAAGCTCCTCTGGTCATGTTAGCGTTGCTTAGGTTGCTGGGACGCTAATTTTGATGGGGTCATCGTGTTTTGCGTTTGACTCTGGTACAACGTGCACATTCCTGAAGTTATTACGTTTTGTGTCGAAGATATAAGTATAATCTATTCTGAAAAGGAAACTCGAGTACGCTTTGCACATTGTCTCAACAAGCTTTTGTACTTGGTACTTGTTACTTGTTACTTGTATAGTTAGGTACTTGTTCTTCCCTAGTTCAGAGTAGTAAACAGATAGTTAGATCACAAGTATTAGGTTGTTACATAAGTTTTGTTACACTTTCTTCGCCTTCCTCTGGAATACTCTAGAAAATTCGGCAAGACCTCATATCCGGCATATATGGGGAAGGGATAAAGGGCTATCTGCTGGCACCACTTATGCTCTCACCACATGACTTACAGTGAATATAAAGGCAACACTATAGGGGCACCCCAACCTTCATTAAAAAATTTAAAAATGTGGAAAAGAAGAATAAGAGAATTTTTAGGAAACAAAGAAAGAAAATTTTTTTTCTTGTTTCCTAAAAATTCTCTTATTCTTCTTTTCCACATTTTTAAATTTTTTATGGACTTTGGGGACCATTGGTAGTAATACTGAAGCAGTTTAGAAGATCAAACTTTTCATCAACCAAAAATGGAAATATGCCAAAAATAATTGGAAAAAATTTCAAAAAAACCCAAAATTTGATTTTTCATGTGTGGCATGTATATATCAAAAATCTGCAACATTACACATAGTTTGGGGGCAAGGAAAAATCATTTGGAAAGTTATGGGCATTTTTTCAGTTGAGTGTAACAAAACTTATGTAACAACCTAATATAATCACACAGTCGAGCTTGTTTAGACAGTGTGTGCAAAGCGTGCTCGAGTCTTTTAGTCTCAGAATGTATGATCATCTTCTCTGTGAATAAAATAGTAGGAATACGGTCGCATGTTTCTGACAGCTGATGAACTATGTCTTTCGAGTTCCAAGTACAGTGATTCGGAGGACGTGCAGGGGGAAGAGTGATGGGCGGAGCCGCCCTATGTCCCCGAGTAAGTGTGATGTCCTTCAAGGGATTTCTGTGGCCGTATTTATCAACGAACCCAGTGGGTTCCGGCCCACTGGGTTAGTCTTTTGATGAATATCGATTCTACCAAAAGCACTAACCCAATGGATTCCGGAATCCATTGGGTTCGTTGATGAATACGGCCACTGGAGGTACAAAGTGCCCCTGCGAGGAAAAGCGGCTAGGCTTTGGGAACTCCTGCCACGCCCAGTGATTCAAAGGGAGATGAAGCACATGTACTAACTCTTTAGTTAGATGTGTGCAAAGCATAGTCGTCATCCAAGTCCCAGAATGGACGATAGCATAGCAAACATTTCCGGGTGCGGGAATTTATCTACCCAGAAAGGCATGCCGCCATGTAATTAGCAGGGGACATGAGAGGTCATGAACTGTCAGCAACGTTAATTTGCACCCAATCTGCACCGAAGGCAAGCAAATTTTGCTCACGACAGATACGACATCATCCTACAGTGTACGAAATAGGGATTTCATCGAAATTTGAATTCAAAGTTCATTAGTGAAATTAGTCCAACTAGGGTAAAAATTCGTATTTAGGGGTAATCTGCCATGCTGGTTCCAAATATAATAGTGGTTTTCCGTGAAAACTCAAAATTTTCTCTTTTTGAACTTTAATCTGATTAAATTTAAACATTTTAAACTGTTTTATCGGCCTTTCACTCCCATAG